ACGAAATGTTCGACTTCGACGCTAACGAGTCCGACTGCTACCAGAGCTGTTCCAGCGAAATCACCACCCCGTGTGATGAGGACATAAACTCAGCGAGCACGCGCTCCAAGTTCTATCAGATGCTGGTCGACGCCACGCTAGCTGAGATAGAGATGTCCACCAGCTTGGAGGAGGAGGAGGATTCGGGTAGTCATCACTACGAGTCGATACGCAACAACGGCGATCCCATTTACGAGGAAATCAACGACGTCCCACCGCCTTTGCCACTCAGCGCACCGCCCATTAACGACGCCGACATGGAGAAGAAGGCAGCACGTTCCATATTCGAAGGCGCTTCCAAATATGATATACTTTCATACCTTGTCGACGCCAAAGAGCGCGGCGTAGTGCGCGAGGAAGCTTTCGATTACCCGGTCAACTGCTCGAATCCCATCATCATAGAGGAGGAAGCTGGTGACACGCTCAGCGAGCTGGGAAAACGTCAAGCGTTGCGCGATTTTAGCAGTTCGCGCGCCTCAGTACTCAGCGATTCTAGTGAGGATGCACAAAGCGTTATGAGCTCACTCTCGCCGCCAACCAGCAATTTCATTTGCGGCAATGGCGGACAGACCGGCCTGATGCAGCGCAACAAAGGCACTGCCAGCGACATTGAACGCAACGACTCGGGCGTCGGCTCGGAAACTAGCAAAAGTTCGCGCAGCAAATACCAAAATCCACTTCCCACAGTGAATGCACAACTTTTGCTAGACAATCCCATTCATCTGTGTGAGGACTGTGATGGTCCGGTGGAGACGCAAGTCACCGATTCGGGTATCAGATTTGCGCCACTCGTGTGTCGCAAGTGTGGCAAGAAACGTGTGGAGCGCAAGGAGATCATAACGGAAATTGTTGAAACGGAGGAGAAATATGGACGCGATCTGCAAATAATTTTGGAAGAATTCTGTCACCCAATGCTAGTGGCCGGTCTACTCACACAGGAGCAGCTCTCTGCAATCTTCTTGAATACCGAAGAATTGCTCGAGAACAATCAAACACTGGCGGAGCGCATGCGCGACGCACTCGACATTGCTCTCGAGCAAGGCGACGACGATCTGCTGACGGTGAACATCGGTAAGATATTCCTGGACTTCACGCAGATGCTGCACGCCTTCGAGAGCTACTGTGTGCGCCAGGCGGGCGCCAGTTTGCTGCTGGCCAATCTCGAGAAGGAGAAAGAGTTGTTGCGCATCTTCTTGAAGGTATCGCAAATGGAGAATGCCGTTTTGAGGCGCATGAATCTCAATTCTTTTCTAATGGTAAGTGGAATAAATATTTCGCTAAAGCTATTCGAATACGGTTTTTGTTTGATTAGTGTAAAATTTTGATTGAATATAAAATGCCGAGCTAAGTGCTTAATGCGGTAAGTGATACTTAAGCTCCTTGTTGACACATTTTAATCATGCCATCCGCTTTGCATTAGGTATATTTAATAATCAATTTGCTTGGTAAAATTCCTAGCAGCACACACACACAAAAACATCGACCCCATACAAACACATTCAAGCGCACACCGAACCACACAAAATTTCAATTATTGTTTGTTCTACTCTTTTGGTTTTGTGCTTGCTTCCCACAGGTACCCGTACAACGTGTCACCAAATATCCACTCCTACTCGCTCGTCTCTACAAGGTCACACCAGCTCATCTGGAAGGACGTGACCAACTCAAACAGGCCCAAGAGAAAATCGAATTGCATCTCAACCATATCAACCAGGAAGCAAAGGATGTACCAACCAAACTCTGGCGTCGCATATCGTCATCGAGTCCGAATCGACGTGCTTCTTGCGAAATCGATATGATCAATATAAAACTACGTAAAATGGCCATCGACATACTTGAATGGAATCACGATGAAGTACGTTTTGCCATGGAGGGGAAACTGTTGTACACACAACCGACGGATAGCAATTGGAAGAAGGCACGCACCATCAAACTAACACCGGTCAATGCATTGCTCGTTACAAATGGCAAGGTGAGTGTGAATGCCCAAACTAGTAAGTGCCGCAAACGAATCAATCCCCCCCAACCACTGGCCAACTAAGTATTTAACCACTTAACCAAACAAACATTCAGCCAATGAACCAATGAACTAAATAAACAGAAATTTTATAGATGTATGCGAGTTTGTACATGTTTCTATGCTATGTTTGACTAGGACTTGACAATGGCTTGGCAGTTAATGCTTGAACTACATATTTCCGCTCACAATATCAATTTTAATTTTCTCAAATCTCTCAAATTGGCATGCAGAAAAGGAAGTATGCAAAGGTAATTGCTAATATAAAAGTAGCGCAAGAATAGGTTAAAAAAATTAAATTTCCCAATGGATAGCAGCTTAGCGCTGGTAGTGAGTGAGAGACCGTAAAAATATAAGAGGTCAAAAGATAACTCCCCTTTTCTGAGGAATGCACGTAAATACTTACATATGTATATAGGCAATCTATGTGCTGTGGGATATACGTACGGTGACCATTCGTACCGATTTTGATGTATATACATATTGATAACGACTGCTCATGACAAAAGATTGTGTTCATTCAGAGCCTACAATATTTTTTATAATGAAAAATGTGTCTCCAAACGGAACGTTCGTACGCAGGAAACATCCATACTGAAAGTTAAACTTTCACGTCCGCTTGAACCAGATGAAAGTTAACAAAAAAAAAATATCTTTTTATAAATATGTACATATGTATGTATGTCTCAGTAAATCTAATGAAATTAACCACCATAATAATAGCAATGTATATATCGTCACCTGAAATGCAAAAAGTCATAACTAATAAAAAATGCTAAATTAACTTTTTTGATTGATATGAAGGATTTTATCGAATAACAACTCCCCACATCATTTTATGAAAAAAAAATTAAAAAAAAATATTAGCCACGACTTTTTCCATTTCATTAACGATGTTGTTGTTACGGCTTTTTGCATTTCAGGTAACGATGTGTACATTAGGGCGGGTTGATTTGTATGGATGAAAAAAAATTAAAAATCGTATAGCAAAAACTTTATCTACATTAAATTCTAAGAAAATTCTCTGAAGAAACCATGGGTCTAAAATCAAACCCTAATCCGCGCCTCTCGACTTGAAAATCTTTTTCCTCTTCTTTCGCTAAATTTATTTTCTTTTTTTAAAATATTTTATGTTTTGTGACTAATCAAAATATTCAATTATCAAAAAAGTAGTTTAACCCCAATTTGCATCTCCTTTGATTTGCGTACATGGGTGAATATTTTGAATGTAGAAAAAATATAAAATGCAAAAGATCTACCTTACTAAACAATTTTATTCAGAAAATTCGATTTCTTTTTGGAAAAACCAATTTTTTCTAACATTTATTTTTTTGGCAAAGGCGGCCATATAAATTTTCAAGTCGAGAGGCGCGGACTAGGATTTTATTTTAGATACATGGTTTCTTCGGAAAATTTTCTTAGAATTTTATGTAGTTTACTTTTTTGCTATACGATAAAAAAATCAACCCGCCCTAATGCACATACATATTTTTCGAGCCCTTTCATTTACACTTGCAATTATATAAGAGCACCTCGAAAGATAAGCGGCGGAAATAAAATGTGCAAAGCCCTTTTCAAATACGATTTTTACCCTTTTAAATGAATTGATTTTAGACACAATCGCTGAACAGTTGCACAAATGGCAATTGAAGTCGCTTGTACAGCATTTACAAGGCGATAACGAACCAATGCGGAAATCATAGACACCACCCAAGCATTTACATATGTACATACATACATTCGTGTACCGTCTCAACACGAATGAAGCGCGCAATCTAATCTGATGTAACAGCATTCCAGTCTATGCGTTTTTCTATTTGAATAAGCAAAATAGTAGTTCATATCGTTGCGTTTCCTTTCGTTTGATTGTACGGCGGTAGAGTGCATCGCTCACGCATTGAGTGCATATTTTAAAATTTACAAATGCCACCAACTGTGTGGACAGTACGAGTAGAGTTATTGCCAGAATATGTACATAGAAATGTACATACATACATAGAACACAGCATAGCATAGCGCAGCACACAAGAACTAGAACATAAAGTCAACGCTTTTATGGCTTCATTCGTACAAATGTACACATGTATGCAGTAGGATGCGAGTTCCAAAGTTCGCTTTTGTACATTTGCAGTGTGAAACACAAAAACAAAAAAAAAAAAAAACATTTACACGATTTTCAACATTTCCTAAATTTTTTTCCTCCTTTCTTTCTTTTCATTCCCACATACATACGCCTTGGTCGAAATGGCTGCTTTGTATGCCGCAATCGTCGTGATTCTACTCCACCTACTACTACTACTACTACTACTACAACAACAACTACATGCATAACAACATTTGCACCATTGCTTGCAGCCAAGCGCCAATTATAAGGCAGAAAAAGTTATGTCAGATAAACTGAATTTCCCAAAACACACCGGCATACGGGAGGCCTCACTGCTGGTGATGAAGGAGAAGTGCGGACGCTATACGCTGATACGTGAGCCATTGTATTTGGACAGATGCGTTGTGTGCAGTGAAGCGGACTGGGATGATTATTTCGAGGTGCAGGAAATCTCATCGAAGGACACTTTCATATTCAAAGTGAGTATTTGAAATACAAAAAAAAACCAAACGGAAACAGTTTTGTAATAAAACAATTGATAGTTCAAAAAGTGATAAAGAGAAGTAAAATATGAACTTTTAGGCGTAGTAGAAAATTGTTTGAGGGGGTGAAGAACATAGACGTAATAGCGGCCCCCGTGTATGCCTTCTAAAGGACTTTCAATATTAAGATGCTGCTCGGCCCTCACATCTTTCTTTAAATTCATAGCCTCAACGTCAACTTTAGATACTTCTTCTATTCCCTTAAAGACCGCCAATACATCCAGATCTAAGTCATTTTCGACTTGTTGAGGTTATTGTCTTCTGCCGGGACCGTAATAGTTACAAATTTTATTTAAAAAAAAACGATCTGTAACAATTATTTTTTTACTTTTATTTAATTACTCCTTAAATAGCCGTTATTTCTAACTTTTATTTGATAAATCGAAAATAACTATTATTTTTGATTTTTATCTAAATAATCTGCAAATAACAGTTACTTTTGATTTTTAAATTATATGTCTTAGATAAAAGTTATCGGGGATTTTTATTTATAAAAGGTATAAATAAAAATCAGTCACTGACCTTTATTTTTTAAATCATACTTAGAAAAGTCATTTGAATGAGTCGTAGTAAACTTTTTTTTACCAACACCTTAGGCGCGAAAAATGTTAGTGACTTTTATACGAATGATTTAAAAAATTAAAATCGTTGACTGGTTTATATTGACGACTTTTAAAAGTAAAAGTCTCTAGCTTATTTTTATTGATGACTTTTATAAATCAAAGTCTTCTATAACTGTTATCTAAGTCATATAAGTAATATAAAAATCAAAAATAATTGTTATTTTGGATTTATAATATAAAAATCAAAAATAAGCGTTACTTGTTTCAATTTTGCATAAAAATTGCAAATAAAAATTTATTTTAAAATTTAGGTCTCAGTGAAAAAAGAAATCAATTGGTATGTATCACTTAGTTATAGAACATTTCCTTCATAGTGAATTTTTCCATAAGAGTTTTCACCAATAACCGTTTTGTTCGCTCCCTGGTCTTCTGGATTACTTTTCTTTAAGGCGCAAATAATTACTTCCCCTACTACACGGCAGTTTGCGATGCTCTTAGTATAGCAAGTCTTTCGCTTCTTTATTGATTTTAAATAGTTATTTAGTTCAGACTATCCACCGTCTGATGTCTACGTGAAGTATCTTTCTATACTGCATTCAGTATAATCCGGATTTGTTCCCGTAATAGGCGCAGAGCATACTCCGAGTACAACATACACGGGATCCTCAGTTACCTCATCCTTTAAAAGCGTGGTGATCAGAGGTCTGACTACCACCTCTAGGCGCACGTTGTCTCCTAGTCTTTGTAGATTTGGAATCAGTTTATACAGCCCTCTTAGCCTTCTGATATCATTGGGCCTCCGCACACTGGACTGCTCAGTCCGCATAAAAACGGTTTTGTATTGGTAACAGGGGGGAAGAGAGTGCGAGTTTGCCTCGTCCATTTCAGTCCGTGAAAATCGCGGATTGACATTGGACTGACACGCACGCATAGACAAAATTGTTTGTGTTTCGATTTCCTCATATACGCCACATGCACTAAGACAATCAAGCGCAGTTTATATATACAAAATTTAAATATATTTCTAGCCGACTGCTCAGTCCAGTGTGCGTTCGAGTGGTGGATTGCTCAGACGGATTGAGTGGCCTAGTGGGCGGAAACTCATGGCGTTTAACACGTTCTACCCCCGTTTAACCAGCCCGCCCGTCAAAAGAGCGAATATGTGTTCCGCTCCCTTTATGCATTCCTCTGATCATGACTCTCAGTAAATCGGTCTCTTCAAAGATCTGCAATTCCGAAGTCATCTGTCGATAGGGGTCACTCAGGTGATGCCACACCATCCAGCTAACTACGCCCACTTGTGCACTGCCCCTCGAGTTAGGCAATTTTGAAGTCGATGGCCTATCGCGATCGGCATGCTCTTGTCTAGCGGCCATCAACAACAGCGGTTTATCGATGCAGTATTTTTCGCTACCCCAAGCATACCATTCCTAGTCGAACTACATCCAACCTGACCTCACTGTCGTCTCCTTGCTAAGGCTGGGCCAAAAGCTGCATGACGCCTAATGCTCAATTGTATTCCAACAGACCGTTCTGCCACTCTGTCTTTCACACTTTGTGGAACATTCGCTCCGCAGGCTGGAACTGAAAATTTGTATTAGCCACATCGTTCTTTGGAACATGGCTGGAGAGATTTCTTCAATTTCCGGAAATTTATAGGACCATAGGCATTATTGCCACGATATGGGTTGTCTCCTTTATATATATGGATTCATCCAGGGAAGTCGACATCCATTAGATGTTCCATTATGTCAGAAATTCTTTAATTATCCCCTCCTCCATACTTCTGGAACTGCGTATGTGGAGCTGATTTTCCAGACTCTAACGAGTCCGTTCTAAGAGGGCTTCGAGAAGTTTTTGTACCGGTTTGTCCCTTGTCCGAGTAACATCTAAATAAGAAACATTTTTTTTAACAGCGGTCACCCTTCGACAGGCAGTGGCAAGCCTCCCAATGTATGTACATATGTATTTCTGCTCTGAAAAAGCTCATGAAACTATTTGCCATCCGGAGGCGGCGTGAAATTGTAAATTCATCCATTTGTCTTATAACATCAGGTTGCACACTACAAATTTAAGGGAGCAGCAGATGGTTTTATATTAAAACTGTTTAAATTAGACAAAAAAACGTCGAGAAACGTAAACTAAATTTTTGAGTCGTAGATTACCGTTTCTATAGATCAGGTAATTTTCCCAAGATATTTCCATTTTAAAATCCCAATTTTCAGTGTTTTCTTTTTTAACCCTTTAAAGACCGATGTTGCTTATAGGCAACATTGACATTTAGATTTATAAATCCTGTTGTTTGGATTATTTTAAAGGTTTGTTTTAAAAGTTTGTTGTGAAGACAAAAAGCTTAATCTTTTGTCCCAATTATAGCATCAATTAATTTTCAGCACCTTTTCGTTGTGACTACTTGTGTAACATAAATATTGCTTATAGTGGTTCTGCAACATATAAAAAAAAAACACATAAAACGTTGTATTTTTTTTGCAAAAGGGTTTGGTTATAAAATATAATAAAATAAAAACACAAAACCCCGAAAAATGTTTTTGGTCTTTTATAGGAAACTTTTTAAATATTTATAAGCAGCATTTCATGACGAACAAACCAAAAAATCATAGACGTTCAAATTTTATATCAGTTCACATTTAAGGATTAACGAACAATAATATGCCCCAAAAGGCATTTTTCGGACAAATATGGTAGCACTTTCGTTATCACAAAGAACATTGAATATAAGCTAAACATACATAGCATCCTTATTTTCTTTGATCTTTGGTTATGTTTTATTCTGTCAAATTGGTGCTCTCGCTATATAGCAGTCATTATTATTTTAAATAAAACTGTATTAAAAGATGTAATGTCTTTTTATTCTAAAAACAAAACTGTATGTTCGAATTAGATGCTTTAGAAATGTACCGAATTTTGTTCACTGAAATCTGGTCACCGTACTTATACGCCATGTACGAGTATGTACAGTAGGACCCGGTACGATGTGGCGTATGAGTAACATTCTACCCCTTCGCTATTTCATACAAAAAATTATTGCACATTTTCATTTAACCATTCAAAAATTCTTTATTTATATTAGGCAAAAGAAATACGATTTAAAAAAATTACAAAGATTTGTTATTTTTTTTAATTTTGTCCTTGTTAAAGTTTGGACATTTTTTTCATAAAAATGAAGATATCTTGGGGAATTGAATTGATCTGGAAAACCCTGATCCTAAGTTCACGTTTTTGTCTAATTTCAAAACTTGAGGTTTTCCTTACAGTATAATCTTAGGTTCTTTGATGGCACTTTCTGAATAATTTAATCCTTTTTCAATCATTCTAAGAAAATTTTTACTCATACTGATGGGAAGAAATTATTAAACAGGCTCGCTTAAAAAAAATCCATGTTAAGGAAAGTAGAGGGTCGCCTTTGGGCAAAGCCCTTCTGAAAGTGTGGTCGACCAGAGTCCTTGATCTAAGCATCTAAAAAGCCAATAACGAAAAGAATTAATTAATAATACATATGTCCAATGAACTCTAAAATTTCTCTTGAGTCAATTTTTTCAGTGTTGAAACAAATAACTATTAATTTTTTCTTTTTCACTTTCAGGCCGAGGATGGTGTTCGTACCAAGCAATGGTACACCCAACTGCAATATCACGCTCAGGGTATGGGCGCTTGGCGTAAACGACGCAATGCTCTTGCCAATATTATGATCAATGGAATGCTGACACGTACCTAAATCGAAGGAAGTAGTATAATGGAAGAGAAATATATTGAAACGCAATTCAAGTTAACTGCCTTAGCGCTAAGTGTCTTAAGCTTAGAGCGAACGATGTGAAGCGGTGAAGTTTTCAACGAAATAAGCGAAATAAATAAATAGTAATTAAGAAACGTAAAGAAATATAAAGAACTTTAAAATATTAAAGAAAAACTGCAAAATTTATGTAAACAAAAAAAAAATGCAAATGTAACGAAAACTGTTTTGCAAAAAAAAACGCAAAGAAGCCATTCCTTTTGATTAGAGGTAATTCAAGTTTCTTTGTATTTATTAAGTAGCGCGCAGCAGTGAATGCATTTTCAATAAATATTAAAGTACTTTTAAATTAGATTATAGCCATTTATTGGATTTATAAATATGTCTTAAATATTTCTTGTACTACCATAGTTGTAGTTGCATTTCGCTGATAATAAAATTACTAAAAATATATGCATTTAAAAATATTTTTGCATAAAATGCTGTTCGCGCCTCTTTGGACGAAAGTAGTTAGTAATTAAAAAAAAACAAAAATTTCGATTTGTTTAAAACTTTATTTTATTAAATTTCAAAATTATTATCTTTTTTAACTTTACCATAAACAATTGTAGGTGTATTGAAATTTTATTCAAACGCTGCTTGTAAATTGCAAGTGATCTAGATTTGTAGCCTTTTGATTTAAAGCATAAACTTTATAAAAAAAAAATAAAATATTTGTTTATCGTTATAACTTACCCAAAAATATATAAAACACATAATAATACATTTATTTTATATGCATATATTATATGTACTTACACGAACATAAATTAACATTATCTTAATCGGTATATAAATATATTAAAGCACACACACACACATACACAAATGTGACTCTGTAAAAGTGAAGCAATAAAATAAATAATCTGAAAATTATAAAAAAAAATTATTTTTTTAAATACTTGTTGTTCAATCCCTATATGACTATGCGCTGACTACCTTTAAGTTACTTCTTTGTCTACAAATCTAGTAGACGTTACTTAATTTCACTTTCCCATATTCTACACGTCTACTGCGCTAAGCTGAAAGAAATTGATAATAAATCTTAATAAGATTTATTATTTTCCAATATATGCAGATGGAGTGAGTAGAGTTCGCGATAGATTTTTTTGGCATATTTTTGCCAAATTTGATTTTCAGTGTCAGCTTGATTTTTTTCTAAAAGAACAGGCTTTTATAGAAATGAAAAAAAAAATTTAAAAAAATAACTGTTTTTTTTTAATTCTCCCAGTTAAAAATTTTATTTTTTCCTAAAATTTCCACACTAAATACGTAAAAATTAGTGCGCCCGCTTGGCGTTAAAACGCCCTAAATTTAGTTTCAAAAACCTAAAAAATATTCCAAATGTTCGTCAGAGTTATGAGCGATCAGAGTGCCAAATTTAATCTAAACCCGTACAGCCCTTTCTGAGTAAAGAGAGGTATCTCATAGTGTAGGTATTAAATTTCATCATATTTCAAATCACCCCATACCGATGAAAAATGCTTCTTAACTAATTTAAATAAAACTTGATCGCACATCTACAGGCTAAAGTCTTTAATTTGACCTCTAATTTGTTTAATTCATTCTTATGACTATCACAAAAATGCCTTCTCATACAATGTATGCACATACATACCTACTTAGTTATATTGATATCAAAGATATTTTCAAAACAAAAACTTTCATAAACCTCTTTCGATTGACACCGACATCTTAATATTTTATGAAAATTGTCTATGAGTTAACTAAATTCGATTCGACTTTTCAAAACGATGGAAATCCCTTTCAAAGTTATTTTCAAACTAAAATCCGCTTAAATGTCTTTCTTCTGTCATTCTGATACACATGTTTTTCAACACGTGGCAACTCTCCTAAATAAACGTCAGAAATAAAGAGTTTTCATTTCGATTGATACCCGCCCTATTATAAATCATTTAACTTATTAAATAATCTAAATGTTGCTTTTCAAAAAGATGACAACTCTTTTGAGACTCCCCAAACACTTCCTAAATGTTCAAACGAAATATTACTTAATACTCTTCCGTTTGACACTCATATTTCATATAACCTATGTAGTAGTTAACTAAGTTCGACTTTTCAAACAGGTGGCAGCCCTCTCCAAAAGTATTTTCAAGGTTAAACCTCTGTTAACTCTCCTTTGTTAACTCTGATTGCGATACAAATTTTAATTAACTGATGAATTAAGTTGAATTAGATTTTCTAAACGTGTGGCAACCCCGTTCGATTGATAGCCATATTTTAATAACTCATTTAATTTATTAAATACTTTGAATTTAGCTTTTTAAACAGGTGGCAACCCTCTTCCCTCACCTCAAAAAAACTGTTCAAACTAAAGATTTCTTAACACTCTTTCGTTTGACATCCATATATTTATATTTCAGATAACTTATGTATATGTTAACTAAACTCGACATTTCAAGCTGGTGGCAACACTGTTCACAATATTTTAAAACTGCTTCCTTCTAAAACTCTTTTCGGTTGGCACCCATATGTGGATACAAATTTCCCTTACCAAATTCCCTTAATTCCAATTGAATTCGAATTTTTAAACAGGTGGCAACCCTCCTATAGTTCAGTTAAGAAACATTTCGATTGATACCGATTTTGTAATAATTGATTTATTTTTTTAAATAATTTGAACATAATTAAAAAAAGTTGGCAACTCTTTTCAAAAAAGTAAAACCTTATTGGACATCTTCACACCAGGTCTTTTAATTTGATACCCCATTTTGGAACATTGAACGAACGGTGCGGATCCTTTATTCTGGACAAAAAATGCCTTCGCGTATTATATATCGACTGCAGAGTTGTTCGCCACTTCTGTCACGACTTGGTTCAGGATATTTATCACTTTTTCGTTTACTTTGTACACCTTCAAAATCTCCATCAGATATGAGTAAGGTACGGAATTATTATTATTATTATTATCATTTCACCGCCCTTTATCAATTTCTCTAGTAATCATTTACTGCACATTTTCAATTTGAAAGCATAGTTAGAATAAATCCTAAAAGCTGCAATTCAAATGCAACAACTCGTACTTTACATTTCTTGTTTGCACACAAATTGTTATTTATTTAGTACGGTATTTGTTAAGCTCTTTCACACTTGGTCAGCTGTTACAATCATAAATAATACAGCTTTCACATGACAGAACTTACATTGCATTGCTGTAATACTTCGGAAATAACTGTCTAAAATTCAACTAACTAAAAAGTATTCATGCATTTATCCATCTATCTATGTATGTATGTGTGTATGTATACATTTTCCATGTCCAGCAGTTGTAAGCAGCCGGTGCGAAGTAGTTTACCTTTTTCTACGAGTATTTATTAAAATTGATGCAAATAAAAACAAACAATTGCACCATCAGCGTCCGTGTCATGTCAGAGCAGACCGCTGCTATCACCTTTAGGCAAACCGTCACCATCCCAAACGTTCCAAATACACGAATGGCGCTTCCTATGCTTCGTTTTATACTTGAACATTCATAAATGTCATTTAACACGTTGCACATTTTCAGGCGTCATAACAAATTGTTGCACTTGCAGCAAATGAAAAAAATGAAGCAAAACAACAAAAACATCCAAAAGATGTCGCTTGCAACTATTGTTCACACTTGTGGGCGTTTGTTTTTTGTGCCTGCTTTTGTTGTTTTTGCTCCTGTCAACACCGGCTGTCAGCAAGGCTAGGCTCTTTGCTTATGTTAGCTGGCTGCCAACCTACCTACCTACCTGAATAGTTGTTGGATTTGTTGGTATATATGTAAACGTACCTTTATGTATTTAGTTTTTTATTTTTTGCGCTTTCCAGAAAATGTACATTGCAACGGAACATTTGTGTTGACAGCGGCGCGAAAATAAAATTTCAAAAAATAACCAACACCAATGTTGAAGCGAAAACGGTGACATTTGGAAACAGCAGTAATGGTGCTGAGTGCCACTGCCAACTTACAGTCCAAATTATAAAAAAAAAAAAACACAAAACCAAAGGGTAGCGAGAACACTTACTTTTTATTTGATATTTTAGACAACAGTTGTTGCAATTAAATAGAATGCCACGAATCTCAGACGATTTTAATTTAAAATTTTTATTGACTTGAAATTTTTTGGCAATGCAATTTTTTGGCATTGCACCTGCGAACTAAATAGTCACTCGAGATGAAATGTACAGTGCTTGGCGAATTGTAACATGAAGAAAAGCTTCCAGCCGGGGTTGCCAGCGGTATGGTTCCCGCATACCCTCCCTCACCAGTCGAGGCAGATGAAGGTGTAACCATCACCTGATTTCCAGGAAAGCAAGTCTCTAGAAGAACAGATGGTGTCTCAATCCTACTTTCCATTAAAGAGCAGCTTGGTGGTTTGGCTCTTTTTAAAAACTTTTACCAGCCTAGCCGTTTGAGTAAAGGTTTCAATCCCGCTGTAGTATTTAAAAAAAAGAGGCCCCCTTCGAAGAGCGAATTATACTACGGCACGCAATTCGCTCTCTCATTCGTAATTGGCACTGTAAACTGTAAAGCCTGTTCCCGCTGTGGGCGGTATTCTTTGCTCCACAGCCCTGTGCCAATTCCAGTTAGCTTTGGAGAGGCATTTCACCATTGTGGTTCCATCCCTCTCTTATAAACGAGAATTGGCTACAGTGCCGGAGGCTCAGATCAGATGGATCATGCAGTGTTTAGTTGCCGCTGTAGTCATCTGCCCATTACGGGAAATGAGCGAAGGGCCTTTTACGGGTTCATAGCAATTTGGTCGAGCCCCCACACCTCCAGACGCAGTTGATGGTTCGAGGGTATAGCGAGGGCAGTTCTGCCTCGACCGACACTTGCATCACTTCTACCTTTTCACGATTGTGAGGGACGGAAAGCAAGCTTCCAGTTTCCGAGCCGTATGTAAAATTCAAGGACTAACTATTAGCCCGGATCACCAACTTATTGCTGCCACACACACTAAAGGAACATTGTGGCGCGTAACTCTACTACTAAAGCTGGATAAATTTGAGAACAGTTTTTTCAACAACTGTTAACTAACCTACTACACTACTACTACATATACATACATAGGTACATACATACATAAATACATTTTATGCACGCGCT